CAGGACTCCTGGGTTCTATCCCCAGCTCTGTCAGGGGAGTGGGGTCTAGCGGCTATAGCTGCAGGGGAGGGGGGAGCCAGGACTCCTGGGTTCTGTCCTGGATTTGAGTGGAGAGTGGTGTTGTACTTAAAGTACTGCACAGGACCTCTTCAGGGGGAATAAGGCAAAACACCACATTTATTAGTAATACATGTATTCATTAACACTGTATCATATGCATAGAGATAGATATAGTGCGTATACACACACACACACACACACACACACACACACGCACTTCATCTTGTTGTTGTTACCAACTGGTTGCTCCCCTTAACTGCACTGGCCAGGTGAGCTAGATGGGGGAGGGGGTGGCGCCGGGCTTCTGCCGCTCTGGATCGATGCTCCCATGTTGACACGACGAGACCCGGGGTCCTCTGCAAAACACCTCACTTCTATAGCAGCTTTCCTCTTATGCAAATCTAGACCAGCTTCAAACTCTGTGTCCGTGTCCATTGGTCCTTCTGGGGGTTGTCCCGCTGCTGCAAAGAGGGTGTTTCCGAAAGCAGGTGCTGGCTCTAGCCCCCGAGGCCGTCGGTGTGTCTGCTTGTCTTTAGGGAGCCCACGGGACAGGGTTTATTGTCCTGGGGTCTGGCTCCCAGCTCTTCTGCAAGGGTTGCAGCTGCCTGGAGGTGCTGCCTTCCTCATCCACACCTCATTCATTCAACAGGGCAATTGATGAAGGGGGTGAGGGGAGATCTTGTTCTACTGCTGGCAAAAGACATCTTTCTTCTGTCTTATTCTACCCTTAGGGGCTAGAACATTATACCAAGGGCCATGCAAAGTTTACCAAGGGCCATGCAAAGTTTCTAAATGAGGCTTTGATACAAAGTCTCCTGAAAACAGAGGTCACACGGGGGTAGACCCACCACAAGGTTATATGAAGAGGCACAATGTGAAGTCATATGAAAATTATCAGAGAGTTATCCACAGTGGGGTGTAGGGCATATAGTTGCAGGGTAGTGGGAGCCAGGTCTCCTGGGTTCTATCCTGGATTTGAGTGGGGAGTGG